GGGGGGGCGGAGGTGCAGGCCAGGGGGAACAGGCAGAGGCACACGCAGACACACGAGCCGGGGTCAATTCTAGGTCGGACGCATGTTGGCGAGGCCTCTCGCTCTCTCTCTCGAAGGAGGAGGAGGAGGAGGAGGAAGAAGCGGAGGCCCCCGCCCGCGCCCTTCCGCCCCCTGCTACCGGGCCGGCCACAGCAGCACAGTCCAGGCAGGGCGGTGGGCAGCCGCGGCAGCAGGAGGGGCGGGGGGCTACCAGCCACAGCCGCCCCCGGGCGGGCATTGTGGGGGGAATGCGGGCCGGGTTGGGGGCGCAATGCGCCAGGAGGCGGGACAGTAGGGGGGGGGGGGGGGGATCCGCCCCATGGGGCCGGGAGGGCAGCAAGTGCTCCATGCCCCACGGGGAGGCGAGAGAGAGAGAGAGAGAGGCAGAAAGGAAGGACCAGCGCCGGCGGGAAGGGTACGCACCGACAGAGGGACACGCCGGCGGCGGAGCCACCATGTGGATGGCCACGGCTTTCAGGGCCACCCCCCTCCCCCGCGCATTCTCTGCGGCCCCCCTTGAGGGGGAAGGGGGAGACACGAAGAGGGAAAGGCAAAAAAAAAAATGCACAGGGCACACGCACCGAGGGAGGCCGGGGGGGCCAGGTCCGCTGGAGACAGAAGCCGGCTGATGGTCCGGCGGAAGGCCGGGGAGTTGGTCGACGCCACGACCTCCGAGTCCGGCGGAGGGTGCCGGAGGAGGGCGGCCACCTGGGGCGGGGCCATGCTGGCGGGCCTGACCGCCGCCGCCGCCGCCTCCTCCTCCTCCTCGTCCTCCTCGTCTTCCTCGTCAGATCCGACGGTGGAGTCCGACTCGAAGGCATCCTCCTCCAGCGCCCGAAGCCGGGTGCCCGGGGCGAAGGAGTGTGCCATGGGGCCGGTCGGTGGCCGGGCGCGCGGCGTGGCGGTTGTCGACAGCCAGCGCCCGCCATTCCGAATGCTGCTCGGGGAGGACGGCCCGGAGGGGGCAAACAGCGGCGCCGTGCGGGCCGGCCCGGCGAAGGATTGCGACCGGGCCACCGGCCGCGCGCCCGGGCTGGTCGGCGTCTCCGGCGAGAAGAGCCCGGTCGCCGCCATGGTGCTCATCCGCGGGAAGGGAATCGGCGACATGGGCTGCGCGCCGGGGATCAGCGACCGGGGGGCCGGCGGCCAGGCTGGCACCGCCGGCCACAGCGGCGTCCCGGGCGCCGACCCGGGCACCGACTCGCCCGAGGTGCCCTTCCCATCGGCGCCGGTGGCGACGCTGCTGACACTGCGCCGAGACCCGAGCAGGGCTCCGGTAGGGACGATGCCGGGCGAGGCGAACATGACCCAGGCAGGCGGCGGGCCCGACGGAGGGGGAGCGAGAGGGAGACAGGTCCCGGGAAGGAGGCGGCCAGAAAAAAACGAAGCGAGAGGGAGAGGGAGAGAGAGGGGGGGGGAGCGAAAGCGATGGGCAGGGAGGGATACAGGGC